GAGAGAGAGAGAGAGAGAGAGAGAGAGAGAGAGAGAGAGAGAGAGAGAGAGAGACACACACACACTCTCTGTCTCTCACACACACACACACAACCTCCTGATCACTCGGGAACAGTCTGCCACAGTCATGTTCTTTTGACTGTATAGGGAATATGACGCCCAAAAAAAACAAAAAAAACAAACAAACCCGGCAGTGTAACAACAACAGCCCCGTCCCCCTCTTCGTCCCTCTCCTCTGCCGCAGCGTGGCTGCGGCGGGTCCACTTGTTCTTAATAAAAGGATCAAGTCGAGATTCTGGAGAAATGTTGTGGCGGCATGGAAAAAAGTGAGACCAGATATCAGAGCTCAATCCCAGACAAAAGTGGAAGTAATGAACCAACCAGTTTTCGGCAACTATCTAATCTGTGACTAAGAAGGGAAGCGTTTCTCAGCGGCCTCAAGCGCTGGTAACTTTGGTCAAAAGTGGGTGCAAAGGGGGGTGGAGGTGGTAGGGGACTTGTGGGACACAGTCACCAACCAGTGGCACCCACCTGCTCTCCTTCGGTCTAAGTTGGGTCAACTGCCGCTCCAGGAGGAAAGAAGGGACAACCTCATCAAGGCTATACCAGAAAGATGGAGGAGGCTGCTGGGACCGGAAGGAATCAACGCTCCACGTACGTGGCTGAAGACGGTAACAGTCCAAGAAAACCCAACGTTCGTTTTACTGAAGAGATGGCATGAGGATGAGAGTGGTAGATGCACAGTAGAAGAATACAGTAGGTCTCAAGACCATAGTGATATATTAGCTCTGTATAGGACCACCACCAGACTGGGACTGGGAGACCTGGAAGAAATTCGGGTGAGGGCGGTGAAAATGCAAGGAAGAGGGGAACCGGCTGTCTACAAATTGGTCGCAGGAGGGGTGGCCAAGAGGAAGTTGCGAATTGATCCCTTGATGTGGGGCTGGAAGGTGGGAAGCGGTACAGTCTATGATCTTATCCGACTATCAACATCGCTCCTCAGAGCTAGACTGAATCCAAAAGAAAAACTGTACAGTAACTCCTCATTAATTGATAGATGGGAGTGTGCCCAACCAGCTCTGCAAATACCTACAGAGAGAAAATTCACAAGACTCTGGGATCAACTGTGTTATCTGCCATCACAAAAATTCACATCTTTACTGTGGCTACAGTTGCACATTGCGGTACCCACCGCTCGCTGGCTTGAAAGAAGAGGTATGAATGTCAATCTGGAGTGCGATCGGTGCAAATGGCCTTTTGAGACAATGACCCATCTCTGGTGGGATTGCCCAAGGTCACAAAAGTGGTGGAACTGGTAGTTCCAACATTGGTCCAAGATGTCAGGGGACACATCTTGCAGGGGAGTGGACTGGGTTATACATGGATTCGTGCCAGACCATATCCCAACCAGAAAAGGTTGGGGCTACATAGCCCAGGTGGGAAGAGCCATCATGTTGTGGCTAATTTGGTTGGATAGAAACGGAAGGCGCTTCCAGAACCAAGAGATGGACGAGGCACTTGCAGAGAGGACGTTCAAGCTGCTTCTGAAAACAGAAATCAGGGCAGACTGGAGAAGGAAGGTTCTGACAGGAAACAGGAGAGCGGGAGAAGTCTGGTTTCGAGAGACATGGGCAGTACCTGGTGGATTGGCCTCAATCAGAGAGAATAGACTAGTGTTATCACAATGGTTGGAGAGACAATAGGAGCAAGGGGTAAGGGAGGGCAGCGGTAGATCAGTAAGGGGTAGGAGTGGATTAGGAGGTAGAACCAGGCGCACTCGGCTCCGGTCGGCAGCCACAGTAGTCTGCAAACGAGTCGAGTAGGGAGGGAGAGTGCCATTAGACACCAGAGGAACAGAGTTTCCCCCGGTAACATTGGACTGGGTTCAGACCGCGATAGGTCTGTGAAGGCAGTTAGGGAGTCTCTAGAGTACAGGAGTACTAGTAAGGGAGGAATAGACACAGAGATTGGATAGGATCGGCTGGGTCTTTTTTTATATTTTGTTTTCTTTCTCGATTTTCGTTTGGTTGAAGCGAAACTGGCTAAGGCTGCCACAAGTTACTTCCCGGGTGGAATTGTGGGGACCTCGGCCCCTATTCGAACATTCTTTCGTAACGAAATGTTAACTCGGATTATAAAAAAAAAAAAAAAAAAAAAAGCTGGGCAACAGAGTCTTCAGTGGAAAGACAGAAGTTTGAAAACTTCACCTGGAATTGGTATGACCACCTAATGCCTACCTGTCCCAGGGTTGTACAGTTGCAGATCTTACACAGGTGTTTGTTACCCACTGTCGCCTGATCTAATAGGGCCTCGCCACACCACTCTCGAATCTCGAAAATTCGTGAGTCGGGCACCTCCACACAGCATCCCTCGAATAAAAAACTCGAAACTGTTGGAGAGCTGTCAGGAAGGCGTTTTCGAGTGCCCTCTCGAAACGATGTCTTCGCCCAGCCTGCAGTGTTGGAGTTTTCGTGATACCGCTCCTCCGCGCAAATGTAGAAGAAATTTAGGGCATACTCACACTAGGACTTTTTGACGTATTTTTGAACGGAACTGTGGCCAGATACATCCAGGTATGCGTGAATGCGGTCAGATACATTCGAGATACTGCTAGTGTGAGTACGCCCTTAGAAGGGATTTTGTCCCCCATTTGCTCATACTATGGTATCTCAAGAGGTCGAAGAAGGGTTACTTTGGAACATTGGGGCTCGCTGCGCTACTCTCGACATGCACAAAAGACAAAAATCATGGCCGTGCATCTTTCCATATTGTAGCAGAAGATTCACTCTCGTTTTGCACATTTCGAGAGTAGTGCGACCACTGCAAAGAGGGCCATTGCCTGCGGAACGGAATTGTCCAATGGCAGTACGGTGGTTCGTGGCCTGGATCTTCCTCACCGGCCGAAGTTCCTGTGCCAGCGGTGGGAGGGCAGCCTGCTCCTAAATGGACAAAAAGAAAGATTTAAAAGAAACACGCCTCTGAATAGTTACGGCATACTCACACTAGCGGTTTTTTTTGCTAAATGGCAAAATCTGCTATGCTGTTAGAGTCACACTAGGGTTTTCCGACCACCAAAATTGCAAACGGGGTAGCATTTGTCAGCGGCCTGGGGGGCCGCGGGGATGGGCATTTTGCCACCACCTCGAGAGGTGGTGGCAAATTCTCTTTTGGCCGTCGCAAATTCTCTTTAGCCTTTTGGGAATTGTTAAAAAAAAAATTCCGCGCTTTTTGACCATGATAGGCAGCAATTTTGCAATTGCCAGAGAGTCCCGCTCGTGTGCTTTGTGATTTGCAACCCATGTGTGACCGGGCGGGGTACTATTTCAGCAAACACGGGAAAGAAAATTCAGCAGATTTTGCTAGATCGCCACCGCTGTGTGAGTACGCCCTTACTGGACGTCGATCTGGAGAGCGAGGTGCTCCTTCCAGCGGCAGGAACACACTTCTTTTTTTTTTTTTTTTTTTTGTAGCCCTCTTGACAAAAATTTGGACCATTTCTCGATTTATGCGTGTCATCCTTGCGCAGGGGCCATGCTAATCTTCTTTCTCTGTATCGTTCCAATTTTAACGGATGTCCCGAAGGACAACATTTGGTTTCGCGCAGACGGACATACGCACACTAGGATGTTATTGCTGTCACACTCATCTAGGTTTGGCCGTCAATGCGGTCAGGTACATTTAAGATAGAGCTAGTGTGAATACGCCCCAAAGCAGAAAGATCAGATAGAGCTAGTGTGAATACGCCCAAAACCTCTTTTCTTTTCCTCGTTGGAAGCATCAATAGGACTTCACAGTAGCAGCTCCAAAACCACATAGTATATAATAAGAAGCGGCATCGACACCAGAGTGCCGAAGGAAACACCTGTGCCCAGGACATCTGGGTGTACATCGAACTGAGATGCAAGCACAAAGGACATTACCGCCTGTGGCAGTGCGTTATGAATGAGGCCGACTTTGAGAGTAAGCCCTCTGCATCCGAAGAGATAGCTTATGACTGCTACCGCAAGTGGTCCCCACACGAATCGCAACGAGAATGTCCACGTGGTAGTCCACCATCCAATCGGGATCAGGCTCGCCTGGCATCCGGTGAACAGCCCGAGGCTGACCATGGACAAGCCGAGGCACATGTTGCTCAACATACTCACCGTCTTCCGCATAACGGTCGGCATCTCGAATCCATACTTGGAAGCTAGAAGGCTGAAAGCAACGCCAAGCAGGCCTGAAAACAGTAATCGCTGTTTTAGGAATGCCTTGGCAGTGAGGCGTACGACCTTGCAAACCTCAGAGTCTGACGTCGGATCCTTCTCCGATTCCAACTTGGGATTTAGTTTACCCGATGCGTGGGGTTGACATTGTGTCGAACCTTCCTCCCCCAAGGGCATCTTCGGGTCCATCTTGCGCGCACTCCGATGAGCACTCAATGACATGGGGAAGTTCATCCTCGACTGAAGAAGCCCGCATGCGTTTGTGCCTTGTGGGTCCCGACTTGCGGCCTCCGTCGTCTCGTCACTTCCCGCCGGAACACATCTCCAGCCCGCCGCTCGGCTTGTCTCACCCACCTGAGCCGCCTCCTCCTCATCAGCAGAACCTGGATTCTGTCGAGTCACAGTGTGAGTTTGACCCATAACTGGCATTTGAACCTGAATCTGCATTTCAGCTGTGGTGGCGGCCTCCAATGAGACAGAGCTGCAAGACAACTTCAACTTGTCGGCGGTGTCACTACTTGTCCGCTGCACTTCAGCGGTGGCCTTGTTGGCTTGACCGAATTCCCGCAGACTAGTTGCATCAGCAGAAACAGACGGAGCAGCCCTTACAGGACCTGTGACCGACGTGGCATCATACATTTCTACCTTGAGACATAATTCTTCCTCCCTTGAGGGGCTTCCAGTGACGACTTCGACTTTGTGCATCGGATCGGAGTCCCCTTTCCACTGGTAAGGATCAATGGCATGGGGATTGTCCGCCCCGTTTGCATCTCGTCGGCGGTGTACTGATTGTCGGACTACTGCAATGCTGGCGAGCTCAGAATTAGACTTCCCGCCGTGATCTGATGGCCTGGGCATATTCAGAATCTCCTCGCTGACAGCAGTGACAGGAGATTGGGAAGAAGATAGACAAGATGGTTTCACTTTCGTGCCGCCTGGGGGATCCAGTTTATTGTGATCCTCCCTTTTCCAGAAGATCGGACACATCTGGCAAAGCATGTGCACAAGCGGGAACCATAGCACCCCTTTCACGACCACCAACTGTGCCATCAGCGGGATGGCATCGGCACCGTACATCGCCTCCGCAAGGGGGAATCCTATGATAACCGAGTTCGTTATCGTGGCGATCATGAACGATGTCGCCCACCATTGAAAACGGGAGGCGAAAGTGTGTTTCTTGGGAAGACTTCGGACACAAAACCCTAGAGATATCAGTAAGACGATTTTGCCAATGGTGTCCGCGATAATGAAAACCTTGTCCATTTTAGTCAAGTCGCATGTAGCAATAACCATGAAACTGTAAGCCGGAAGCGCGAAGTAGGCATTTAGATTGTTCATACCTTCGTAATGCCCCTTGATCAAGATACCCCATTTCTTGACCGACAAATACCCAACCAAAATTCCAGTGTAAAAGGGTATTACTGCCCACACTAGCTCCACCAGTCTGCCCCAATCCATGATTCTTTAACCTCTCTCTCTCTCTCTCTCCCTCTCTCTCTCTCTCTCTCTCTCTCTCTCTCTCTCTCTCTCTCTCTCTCTCTCTCTCTCTCTCTCTCTCTCTCNCTCTCTCTCTCTCTCTCTCTCTCTCTCTCTCTCTCTCTCTCTCTCTCTCTCTCTCTCTCTCTCTCTCTCTCTCTCCCCGCGTCTATCAGTCAGTCTGTCTGCCAGTCAGTGTCTATCTATCTATCTATCTATCTATCTATCTATCTATCTATGTATCTATGTATCACACCGTTGACCCATCTATCTATCTATCTATCTATCTATCTATCTATCTATCTATCTATCTATGTATCTATGTATCACACCGTTGACCCGAGCGCGCGCGCGCGCGCGCACACACACACACACACACACACACACACACACACACACACACACACACACACACGCACGCACACACGCACACACGCACACACGCACACAAACAGAAGAAGGGAATCAGGGGAGGGCGTTAAGCGATGTTAAGATCGATTAAAAAACGGTGGCACTGTATGGAAATTGATATTCCGCGGCCTCCAGTGAGTGGCCTGAATATGCCGACCGACGGAATGCAGGAGGATACCTACAAGGGGCATCTCACGACATCCGCATAAACTATGACGGATGTCAGGCACTCTAAGCTCAACAGAGAGCCGGCGGCGCTGACCATGCACCCGATCCTGATCTAAACGTACATGGATCTGTAGTAGCCAATTTGTTCCAACACATTTTCTCCGCCTATTCGTGTCTGAACGAATGTACTACAATTCCAGTGTCTGATTCGCTGCGATCTGTCTCCGCCCCAGCCTGTCCTTTGTGTCGTGTATCTCCCTTGCCGACAGCCCGGACAGGACACGAGCAAACGAACCCAGAAGCTACAGGAACACCAAAATACTTCTCCTTACCCGCACCCTGGACCGCTCCCAAATTGTCCTCCCATGGCGCCCCTCAGGCAACGCTCACTTCCCTCCCCCCTTCCCTCCCTCCAATTAACGCTTACCAGCTAGCAAACAGTCTAGTACTCTCTTCCCATTCCCTCCCCCCTTCCCTCCCCCCTTCCCTCCCCCCTTCCCGCCGGACCTTCGGTAACCTGTAGACAGGCCTCCTACAAAGGAGGGTGAAACTTGAATGCTGCCAGCGGAGAATGAAGTTACCTGAAGTTCTTGACGAAGATGAGATAACCGAGCCCCCTGTCTATTCCATTGTGCAGAAACAGTCATTAAGAGATGACATCAAGCAAAAGAGGGGGAAAAAAAAAAAAAAAAAAAAAAAAAGAGGAGATGGACAAAACTTCATAACACTGCCCACCGCCTTCCCCTTCAAATCCTAAACGAAGTCTTCTCAGGATGCGGAAAGAAACGTGTCGACCGCTAGTTATCGGAAGACGATGGGTACCACAAAGGAAGGGAGGAGGGGGGGGGAGGAATAGTCATAGACATCCGTTAAGAGTGGAATGACACAGAGATTCTAAAGATTAGAACGGCCCCTGTGCATTCAAGGACGACACGGTGCATGCATCAAGAAATGGTTCACTTGTGTGAGTTCAAAAAAAAAAAAAAGAAACGAAACGAGAGTAAGAACTATGTCCATCAGCGGCGTCAGGCTTCTTTAAAATATCAGACAAGGCTGCAGCTACCGGGAACTGCAAGAGGCCGACATTTCAAGCATCAGTCCCAACTTTCTTAGGATCCATTTTAAAGTGAGCGTCGACCCCTTTTTAAAGGATCGTGAGGTCGCTATGGCGTTCGCCTTCACCACTTCCAGATGAGTTCAGACGCTTGTCGACCCCTTTTCCCCACCCGGAACGGAGCTGTCCTTTTTTTTCCCCGCCTGCACAAACTCAGACCCCGCCTGCACAAACTCAGACCCCGCCTGCACAAACTCAGACCCCGCCTGCACAAACTCAGACCCCGCCTGCACAAACTCAGACCCCTTTATTAACAGCAACAAGAATTGGTGTTCCCGTTCTATCCCCTCCTACAAGGCTACAACCTCCCTAGCCCTGTGACAGCCTCTCTCTTCGTCCACTCAGACTCCGCTGGAACTGAGCCTGAAGAAAAATCAACACCCTTGTTGTGCTCCAGATCGCTAAACAGGCAAAAAAAAACGCTTCAGAATCTCTCTACAAATTTAGAATCTCAGATCGCGAAACAACAACAAGAAGCATTCCCGTTCTCTATAAACTCTTGTACTTATCTTTCCTACAACCCGCTAGACCTGTTACAGCCTCTCTCTTTTTCGTCTGATGAATCTGTGATGATACTACGGTAGGCTTGAATGGAAAGCAAAAGCATGGAGGTCCAGATCAATAACAAGCAACAAAAAAACGCTTCTCTACAAAGTCAGATCGTTAAACAGCGACAGGAAGCGTTCCCGTTCTCTAGAAAGCTATTCTGATTGTCCTCACTACAACCTCACTAGCCCTGTTACAGTTTCTCTCTTCGTCCGATGGTACTACGGTAGGCTTGAATGGAAAGCAACACCGTTGTGCTCCAGATCGCTAAACAGGCAACAAAAAAAACGATTCTGTCTATGAACTCGGATTGCTAAATAACAAGAAGAAGCATTCCTATTCTCTAAAAACTCTTTACTTATCCCTCCTACAACCTCACTAGCCCTGCTACGGACTCTCTCTTGGTCTGGTATGGTAGTGCTGATACTAAGGCTGAATGAAAAGCAAAAAAAAAAACACCTTTCTTTGCGCCCGAAATCGCTAACAGGCAACAAATTCCTACACCCTCACTGACCCTGCTACGGACTCTCTCTTGGTCTGGCAGTGCTGATACTAAGCCTGAATAAAAAGGAACACCGTTGCGCCCGACATCGCTAACAGGGAACAACAAGTGCGTTCTCCTATGTAATAGAAGCCACCGGTAGCTGTCAATTGCCAGCAGAAGCGACCTCCCTGGCGTTCTCCATGGGCTCCGTTGTGCATCTCAAGCAATGGCCTCCACTGCCTTCTAAGGTGATGCCTCCATTGCCCTTGACGAAATTACCACACACGCATCAGCGGCATCACCCCATCGTCGTAAGACGGCGATGGTGAGAGAGAGACCATCCTCAGGCTGAAGGAAGGCGAGAGAGAGACCATCCTGAAGGTAGGCGGCGAGACTACTGTCTTTATGCCCTGGTGGCAGTGGTGCCTCTCTTGCTCCCCTCATCATCACCTTCAAGTTTGGCCGAGACCATGGTCCTCGCTGCACTACTCTCGAAAAGTGCAAAACGAGAGTGAATCTTCCGCTGTAATATGGAAAGATACACGGCCATGATTTTTGTCTTTTGCGCATGTCAAGAGTAGTGCAGCGAGGCCCCGCCCTTTCGTGTGATGTACGTGCAATTTTTTATTTTTTTTGGGGGGGAGGGAAAGGAAATGTACGTGCAATAGGGCCTCGCTCCACCACTCGTTGCAAAAAGTGAAAAAAGCAGAAAGAGAGAAACGATGGGTCTCGCTCCACTACTCTCGACATCATGCACAAAAGACAAAAATCATGGCGGTGTATCTTTTTTCCATGTTCTAGCGCTAGTAGTGGAGCGAGGCCCGATGTCGAGCGTATTGTGTTTCCACCTGAAGCTGATGTCTGAAAGAAAAGAAAAGAAAAAAAAAGGCTCGAGCGATGGTGGCCTTTACCGCCGTTCAACGGGAGCTGATGGTACGTTTTCGTTTCCTGTCGGAGCACTGGTGAAGCTTCATCGCGCCGATGATTGCGTTGTCCTGTTATTATTATTATTATTATTATTATTATTATTATTATTATTATTATTATTATTATTATTATTACAGGTCCTTGGGTTCGAGCCCTGCACACATGATGATTCTGAAAAAAAAAAAAAAAAAACAGAAAATAGGGACTTCGCTGCAGGCTGTCTCCCAGACAGGAAGCGGCATGGAGTCGCCACGCGCCAGTTGCGGAAGTTGGGTGTTGTGTGTGGGCTGTGTTGGTCGCTTGCAGCCATCTGTAGCTGGGCAATATCTAGGGATCATTGTGTCCTGTGTATGTGAGGTGCCAGCTCTAGAGGTCGGCGATATCCAATGAATGAAAATGAGTGATGGCTTCTTCTGGTAAACTAAATAATAAAACAAAAAAGAAAGAAAAAAGCCAGAAGTTGGTGTGAAAGAATGGGCTTGTTGTCGTAACGCATGATGACTCCTCCCTCACCGCGGTTGGGAACATGGGCGCGGACCTGGGCACACTCGCGTTCGATGGGTGACGTGTACGGCCACGGCGATCACTCTTTGACTGCAGTTGGGTATTTTGCTTCGGTATTTGGCCTAGAAGCAAGCTGACTTTTGGAGTGAAGCGGGAGGAGCGGCTTGCACAGTTGGACTTTCTTGTCAGTTTTCTCCATGGAGCCTTTGTTTTTCTCCGCGAGGAATCCTTGGGTCGTTACTCACACCAGTAACTTGTGGAAAGGGACAACGTCAGGACAGTCTTTTTTTTTTTTATCGGTGTCATCCTTGCGCAGGGGCCATGCTAATCTTCTCTGGTCCAGGCGGTCCCCTCTGCAGAATGGCTGTCCTCCAAGGATGCCAGTCTCTCTGCAATGCAGCCGTTGCACATGGGCCTGGGAAACTTATCCCATCTATGGGTAGATTGCCCCTATTCCCGATTGATCTTGAAATGGTGGAGGAATGTGCCGGACCCGCCGGGATGGCGGCCCGTGAGGATGGAGGAGGGGTTGAGGAAGGAGGAAGTGGAGATGGAGCTGGAAGGGACAGCGCAGCCCCGAGGCAGACTCAACACGGCACGTACTCCAACAAGTGCGAGTGAAGAATGAGCTGAAAAACAGACAACAGCTGGGGCATACCCCCAGCGGACTGACTGACTGAACGGGACTGGACTGGTACCGACAGTGGTACCGGGCAGGACTGGACTGGACTGGAACAGCACATGGCCTGTGGGGTCAGGCCGCGACC